ACGTTGACTCGCAGTTCGGTATTTTTCGCAGTTCTCTTTCAAACGAGTCCGTTCAAAATCTTTAGCCTTGCCTCTCAGATAACTAGAATTGTAATAAAAACGGAACATATTAGAGGAACACGAAAGCGCTTAAGATTGAGATGAGAGGACGCAGATGTCTTCCTTTAGGAAACATCAAATCGTGATGTTTAACAGGTATGCAGGCTCATTACCTGATGGTGATGACCTCACCACACAACGAGTCCCAAAACCCTCACATCAGATTACAATCATGACTGCAACGCTTCAAGTTAATTGAGCCAAGCGAGTCCCTCCATCTCTGATTACATATATATTAGTAAGTGATAATAGCAACAACACAATCCACGTTCACTTACCTCTTTGTGGCGCGATAAGCTGGTTTTGAAACAAACACAGGTCTTCTTCTTACGAACCGCCTGGTCTGGAACTTTGGGTCGATATTTATTTGGTGCATAGGCATTTCGTAGAATGTTAGAATGTAATTGTGAGGACCACTTCGAAAGGGATAGAAGCCTTCTCCATTTAAATAGGCAGCCTCTATCTGTTCTTGCTTTGTCCCAGACGACTGCTAAAAGAGTAGAAAAAGAACTCTAGGTCTGTCTTAACTCAGGCTCTTGTCTTGGTTCAGTTTGCAAACAACTTAATGCCACATGCATAAATATCGCGAGTCCAAAGTTGTATACACGAGCCAGTTGTTCGTCTGTCATTTAACCCTGTTATTTATTGACTTATTTATTGCATTAGCACACTTTAACAAGAGGTCAGTTGCCCAGCCAGTATCCCAATTTTTATCTCATTAGCAAGAAGCCAGTGGCCATAGTGTTATGGTTGTTTTATGTACAGTCCTTTTCAGGGACCACTTGAAGATCAGACCACACGATCAGACCCTATCAAACAAAAACTTTCGCCAATTTTCAAGTACAAGCATTTTGTTATGAAAAACCCTCCTGGCCCAACTGAGAAACAAAATGACGGTAAAGCCACTCGAATAATACTATAACAGGATATTTCGCCCGACTGTTACTTACCATCGTTTCAGTGTATTTCTTCCAACCATCGTTGTCTGCCCAATACCAGACCCACTGTGTGGATGACTTGTTGTTTGGCTCCTGTATGTAAGATGGTGTTGAGCATCGACGGAGCAAGAACTGGGCAGAGGGGGGCGAGCGCATGGACATCTCCTCGAAATGAACTGTCACCTGTGATGATGACGCACTAGGAAGAAGAAGAAAAAACGGTATTACTCCAACGACAATGGAGCGATCGTTTCAAATTATGATAAAGATAATGAAAAATAATTTGCCTGGGCCTCGAGGTGAGACAGTGTTGAAAAAGAAACAAACATGTTACTTTCACGCAGCGAAGACATGAGATACAAAAAAAAGCTAACCGGAACTTATTGAATCCCGTTGGAATATTTCGGCTAAATCGCTCTTTAATCTGTTGGAGAGTCTGTGATTTCACAACATTGAGCAGTATGGCGTCGCTTTGAGCAATTGGTTACGTAGTTCAATGTTGTACAACCCCTAAAGGTTCAAAAAACTGATGAGGGCCGAGCGATTTAGCCGAAATATTTCCACTCAAATAAATAAATACAAGTCATATTCTATCAAACATTATGGTGTTGAAATACGTTTCTAGAAATGAGCTCTTGCATAATCTTTCCATTACTTTTATGAACCTCTTATAAATAAATGGTTTGACCCCTAAGAAAAAATTCGCATGTATCTTCTGATTATCCGCTGCAGAGTAATCCTAAAGAGGACTGTTGTCATTTGTAGCTAATAAAATTTAGACAACTTGGTGGAAGTCTTCACCTAACTCTAGGAAGAACATTATCAGAGTCAAGGAACCGCTTTAAGCGCTCAGGTTGTTGAAACATTTGTCGCTACTAAGGACAGTCCTTCTCAGGAACTACTCTTACCTGGAATATCAGAGTACAAGATCAAACCTTCTTAAGTTTAGAACCCGACTGAAATAATTTTTGTTCAAAATTTTGACTTTTTCATGGTTAAATACTAACATTTCAAAGCCGTTCAATATCAACGTTCACCAGTTATCATTGTTGCATGCTGATAAATAATACATGCGGAATCCTGTTATCGCAATTCTTGCATTCCCCACAGCTCAACTCAAAACTGTTATTATAAACAGTGAGATTCTCACGCTTGCTCTTCCTGTCTAACCTCAGTGACTTACCTCAACGCAGTATCGGTAAGGTTCAATGTAACTTGCAGATTATTCACGTCACAGTAGAGCTTTTCCAAAGCTACATCGTCAGAAGGGCCGAAGTTCTTCCACAAATAGGAATCTTCTTCTTTGAACTGCCAAAAGTAAGGAAAGGACTCACCACCAGCTGCAAAGAAAAGGGTTTGAAAAGAGGTCACAACTTCTGCGTGGGTAATAATTTCAAAGAGAGATCAAATAACATTTAGCAACTAGAACTTTGTTGATACTCATCCTAGAATCCCTTGATTTGGGGATCCGTGTGATAACCCCTGAGCTAGTTACAATGCCTTCCGCAACTAATCTCTATCACACCGTACAATAACTACGGGAATGTGGAAAATGAAGGAAATAAAAAAAGTTGAACAAAAATTGAAAGAAATGAAGGTGATAAGCTCTTTAAAGAATCCTCATCGAGGTTTCAGTTAGTTAGTCACTCATCAAATGGAAAAGTATTCAGTCAGTCTCTCATTGTGTTAGTCAGTTTACCAGCACAGTCAGACAACCAGTCGTTCAGTCTCTCAATGAGTGGATCAGCCAACCAGTCATTAAGTCATTCAGTCGACTGGTGGCTTGTCTGACTAGTCACTTACCCATAAAGTCCACCAGTCAGTGGGTCAGTCATGCAGTTAGTAAGTCGATTGGTCGCTTAGATCGTCAGGGAGCCAGTCAAGATGTTAGTGCGGTCAGGTGGTCTGTCACTCCTAAATAATCAATTGGCAGTCGGTTGCATATCCTACCGTCGCTCGATCCCGTAAAAATCTTGCTGAAGGAAATCGGTTTATTCTGGAGCAAAGCATCTAGATTCATCAGGATTTGCCTTATGTCTCCAAAGATGACCATCACAACTGAACAGAAGAGGCAGGTGCATATAATGAATAAATTTCCAATCGTCACCCAGACGCAATTTAAAACAATGGCCGCCACCACAAACATGACCCAGATCTTTATGAACACAGCTGCCACGCAACCAGCGGACGAACGTCTGCTCAAACGATCCAGTTTACCTTGAATGATTCTTACGTGGTAACTGCAGACGGTAAACGTAGAATGGAAGAGCTCTTTGGCCTCTTTAACGGCGCTAGAAACCCTGTCACAAACATTTCTTGCGCCATGTTTTTTCCAGTGGAAGACTATTATCATTATGCTACACAAACAACACAGTTGCGAAAAACTTCTCAAATCAATCCTCAAATTTAAGGCCCAGTCTGAAGCGAATAGCGTAGTGGACCTAAGGCAATATACGGCAACTTTCATGGATCCCATAAAGATTTTCAAGCCGTAGTAGATGACGTACATTGCGCCTTTCACTATTATTGTAATAGTGAAAAGAGCAAGGGAAATCAATAGTCCCCACAAAAACCAGAAGCAAGGTCGAAAATAAAATATGCACTCGACTGCAACACTAATCATGAACAATAAGGCGGCAATTTTTATCGCCGCAACCACCGTGTAACACGTCGAAGAACGTCCACCGAAGTGATCCATCTTGTTGAGAATCATCTTTGTTTTGTTACGGATGTAGTGTATCATCGAAACATGATTTAAAGGCATCTTGTGTCGAAAATTTAGCTCAATATCAGCAATAGGAATCGTGTATCTGCTAAGTTTCTTTCGCTGTTTCGAAAAGTCCTGTGGATATATTTCTCTTTATAATCTACAATGTAACGCAAAGGAACCAGCCAAGGAATAAAGGCACTATTGATTGCGTGTGAAACAAAAGCATTAGCTGATGACATTTTGATATCCGGCATTAATTTATTTATCTTCTCATATTTATTCGCCCTCATCTGGTAGGGTCAGATACATTATGCCGGCATAATTTTGAGCATAATACTATGGATGGAGCATCAAGCATAATGCCGGCATAATAGGTATTTTTTTCTGCAAAAATATTAAAAAGCAATGAAAAATATTATTTGTGCTTCTCACTTGGAGAGACCAAGAGATCGTTTTATTATACAGTTGTTATTAAAACATGTTGAATACAATAAAAATCAGGTGAGCATAATATTATATTTTTCGAGCATAATTTCGGGCATAATACTAGGTTTTTTTGGGTGACGCTCAAAAGCATAATACTCGAATTTTCGAGCATAATGTATCTGACCCTATCATCTGGCGTACTTTAGGTTTAGTGACATTTCTGACATATGCACGGATTTTCACACTCTCGCGCAGCTCGGAATGTTAGGAATGCTAGGATAATATCCGAGCATTTCTAAAAAGTACTTACAGTTGAGGCCGCATGCGTCCCCTCATGAACTTATAACTGCTGATGGAGATTTAGTCGCTTGAATTGTCAGGAAGAAAACAAAGGGATTACCGAATTACGATGAGGACGATTCTAAAGGATCAGTGGCACGGCGTGAGACAAAGAGGCAAATCACAATTATGATTCTTGAATAATACACTTTCCAAACATAGTTTGAAGCTACACTGGTTTGCAGATTTAATGAATGTAACCGAAGAAGTTACAGTTCATAGACCCAACGTTTCGACACTCCTGTCTAGTGTCACTCTAGTGTCACTCTCGACAGGAGTGTCGAAACGTTGGGTCTATGAACTGTAACTTCTTCGGTTACATTCATTAAATCTGCAAACCAGTGTAGCTTCAAACTATGTCTGATTGTCCACCTGGTTGCCGTGTGAACTTTAATATATATTACACTTTCCAAAGTTGATCAAGCATAGCCAACCAAGTCTATGTGGGTTCATCGAACACAATCTTCAATAATTTCATAACGCAAAACTACTGTTATGGTATTCAACTGCATAAACATAGGTACTCTAAGCCGTGTCAATAATTATTGGAAGCAAAAATTCGAATGATATTAGTGAAAAAAAATTTTCCCCACCCCACTCCTGTTGGGAAAATATTGCCACTTTCTTGGAATTCTTGCATTCGTTTTCATGAATACGTACAGTTTCAAAACGTGACGGAAAGTTTCTTGATGGAGAGAGTGTTCATGTTTTCTGCAATAGTGGCGGATTCTCGCCCTCGTCTCCATGGAATTTCAATTCCAAACAACTATTTCAATTTAAAAAATAGGTCCGCAATGCGTACTTGTGTGGAATTTCATTGACAAAGTGTTTGCAAGGGGTTTTTGAGCGGAAGCAAACCTGTCGCTCACCGTGGGTCAACTGTACTACAGGGGTGATATTAGGCCTGGAATCAACAGCCTGAATAGTAATTTTTGTGCGGGAATTATTTGAACAAATACAGATTCACAGGAGAGATCTGGGGTATTAACTTATAGTTTTATCAAGCAATATGCCTTTCCCTCCCTCCCTGGAAGCTTTTTGGCATGTTTTTGAACGTTTGGTAATCGTCTTCAACAAATAAATTACCTCTTGGTGGCTTAGGCTATTTATTTGTTTATACGGCAATACTTGAAATACTTGGAGCAGTAAATATTTTTGTAACAGTCATTGAAAAAAAATTGAAAAAATTTGTGCTACTACTGTTTAACTCGTGGATACACGATAGCGTAGAAACGAGTTCTTGTGGGCGCTCTGCGATATGCAAATTAGCGTGGACTCTTCGTAATTAGTCGTAATTAGTCGGCTTCGAACTCGAGATCTATCCTTCCGAAGAAGTAAGTCCAAAGTCCTGGCGCTATTATGATTGCACTGATCGTTGCGATATTTATTGTCTTTACACGCCTGTTTCGACATTTACTATATTGAAATGGACTTCAAATGTTTCGGATTAGTGCTATGATCAACTTAAAAACCAAATTTGAAGGGTCTTCGAATCGTCCATGCGCTAAACATAACGAGGACCAGCGAGAATCACGAAGAGTTTGTGAGTGACAGCAAGCTGTTGACACAGAAATTCCCACGGAAACATGTACCCATGAGATAAAAAAAATGGTAATTTGCAGCATTATTTCTTTCTACGCCAATTTGGGTCTTTCCGTTGTAATCGTTTCGTTTTATTATTCTTCTATGCAAACGTGACTGTTTTGATGGTAAGAATGAAAGATGATCGCTTTCAATAAGTCGTTGCCGAGCACGTGACTATAATCTGGCCGGTGTTATTTTGATCACTTGACGATCTTTTTCGCTGAAAAAAAAAGAACGACTTCCTATTTCAAGGAATGCTTTTCCAATTAATTTCTATTGCATCGGTGTAAAAAAGTACAGGTATATGAGTGTTCTGAAAAAACAAAAGGGAAATTCAAAACTACGAGAAATTGCAAGTAATCGGCCTCTTCTGCTACACGCGGGTTTTTTTGGTGTAACATGCATGTGTTTCCTATAAGTTACAAGCACTCTACGCACGTGGGAATGCTGCAATCACGAATTTTAGCTGCCTTGAAATTTCAAGACTGTGTGTTATGTAGTTTATTTTTGTCTTTTGTAAATGGTTGTTAAACTGGACAACTCTTAGAAAGATGACTTCAAACTTAATTTTAAAAGGCCTGTTCTGGTACCAAATGAATAAGCAGCATTTCCTTATAATAGTTTTGCAAGTTTCTCATTACAAATTCCTCTGAAAAAAGGGAAACAACTCTTTTCATAACTATATATTTACTGCTTTCTTTTGTTGCTCTCTTAACTTAAAAAAAATGTACATCATGATAAAGTAATTTGTTAGAGGACACCGTGAAATGAGGCCCAAACAGCTTTATGATCTGTGAAATATGTTTCTAAAACATGTGCTTGTATATCAATGTTAGATATATTTGTATATATATGATCAATTACTGTGTTGTTGTCAGTTGTATAAGTTGATATGAACTGTTTGTAATGGTTATCCCTCACTAGTAAATTATACAAAGGTCTTCTGTCTGTTTCAACAAGCCAATTTATATTAAAGTCTCCAGTAATGATATTGATGTCTGGTGAAATGTTATTTAATACCTCAGTTATTGCTTCATAAAGTTGTCTTACAGGCACGTTTGGGGAGTGATATATCCCTATGATTATCCAATCCTCAAGACTTGCTAACTTAATTACTGTTATTTCAACACCATGTATATTGTGACAATAGGGGTATCCAGGTAAGTATGGGATTTTACTGTACACAGCTGTACCACCATAAGACCTTGATCCATTGCTGGAATTAAGGTTATCATTACGGAAGAGAACATAATCAGCAATGTCATACATGTCATTATTATCTTGAGAATTAAATCTTGTTTCTGTGAAAATATTGATATCAGCACTTAGATAAATTAAGTCTTTACGTATATCTTCTATGTGTGTGTGAAGAGACCTTACATTAAGATAACACAGTTTAAGAAGGGAAAATGTTATGTCATGGAGAGGGGAGATGCAAAGCTTAAGTTTTGCAGTTGTTCTTAATCTCTCCATCTGGATTAACAGCAATCTTGCTTTCACACAAATCAGAAATATATAGGCCTTCTATAGCAGTCACTCTACTGAATCCCACGTAATGTATGTGTGGAATAGTATTTCTGGTACTAAAATCCACAACAATTCTACTGTCAGTATCACCTTGTGACCTGTGAATTGTTTTTGCTGCTGCGGGACATAGTGGAAATTGTTTTCTACCAACTTGTGCTGTTCTGTTTCTATCTACCGCAAACTGTGTAGTCACAGGGTTTACTGGGGTCCATGTGTGTTCAATTCCTTGTACATACAAATGTCTTTTTTCATTCCTTGTTTTGTGACCTACATCTGAGTGGTCAAATTGTACCCATATAATACCAGATGGTTTGGTTTGTTGATGTAACTGAACTAGTTTAACAACATTTCCAGCACCATTTGTCATGCCATCTTCGGTTCGTACATTCATGACAAGGTGTGTTCTTTCACCCTCAGCAAGACAAAGGGTTGAGGCTAACTGTTTCGTTTTTCTTGGATCATTGGGTATTTGTTTTAGTATTTTGTTTCTTAGCTCTGGAGAGATAGCTCCAATAACACTATCTTGAGCATTTATTGTGAATTTGTTTCCTGTGGCTGCATTATGGGCCCTTTGATTAAATTCATCTACTTTAGCATTCTGTATAAATAAGTGAGGTGCATCTATTGGGTTGTTGATGTCTTCTTGTATAGCTCTCTTTAAGTTTTGCAATGTCAGCTACTGTGTGTTTACCTTTACGCAACCTATTAAGTAATTCTACAAACAATTTGCTGTCTCTTTGACCCATGATTTCATTAAGTTCAAACAT